GGTTCTGAGAGAAATCAGAACACTTACTTCAGAACAGATCGGGTTTAAACACCTGAAGGAGTTAATCTTTCTTTACTGTGGTGGCACTGCCATATTGGGGTCTCTTCTGTTTGTCTCTCTAACTGATCTGTGTGCTGGAGTTAAAATAGGGTAGGATTCATCTGAGACTCCCTCATTTTCTGAGTGCTGAAAGGTCCATGCTGCAAGCTTTCCCCTTACCTGTCCACTGTGGAAAGCCGAGATTTTGTTGTCATTTTATTCTGCTTTTATGTGATAGAGTCTCACTATGTAGCCTGGCTGGCCTGGAACTCACAATGTAGACCAGGCCAACCCACTTGCCTCTGCCTCCCAAGTGCTAGGTTTAAAGGCATATGTCACCATGCCCAGCTGACAGCCATCTTTTTTTTTTAAGATTTTATTTTTTTAAATATTTTATTTTTAATAATGTGTGTGGGTGTGTGCACATGAGTGCAAGTGCCTGCAGAGACCAGAAGTCATATCCCCTGGAGCTAGAGTTATAAGCTTTTGGCAGCCACCCAATGAGATGCTGAGAACTGAACTCAGGTCCTCCGAAAGAGCCAGAAATACTCTTTAACTTCTAATCCCTCTCCAGCCCCCCAAACCATCATTTTCGACAAAAGTATTTAGCACAACTCCTGGTACAGGCATGTGTGTGTGTCGTACATATGTGCAGACTCTGTTTTGAGTCCCAGCTTCCCATCTGGTTGATGATTTAAGGTACATTTCTCACCTCTGTGCACCTTCATTTTCTCACCTCTGCAGCTGGAATGATAGCACTTAACTCACAGGATCAAGGAACCAGTGCAGACCAAGGGAACTTAAAACACCTAGCAGAGTCTCTGTAGTTAGGTTCCCCAAACTGCAAATATAGCTTATTGCAATCAGCTGAAGACCTAGAGATAGTTTTTCTATGATGCCTTTGAAACCATGGTGACCTTTGGTTTTGTGGTTTTTTTTTTTTTTTTTTTGCCCTCAACCTCCAAGGCTCGTGATTATGGGTACGAATAGTGTTAGAAAATATGTGGGAAGGGTTGGCAGGGCTAGTGTGAAAGAACATGGAGCCAGGGGTCTGGCTTGCATTTCTGGTTCAGCCCTTTACTCACACCTCAGCGACCCCGGGACTAGCCCCATATCTCCTCCAAGCTTCCTCCCAGCCTGGATCCAGCCTTTTCGGTGGCTTTCCCTTCTTCACTGTGTGCAAGCTAGAAACCTGAGTCATTCTAAACACTTCCCTGTCTTCTCTCCCCCTCCATCTCTTGGCCTAATCTAATTAGTTGCCAAGTCATGTCTAGTCTATCTCTGAAATAGCTTCAGAATCCATCCCATTCTCCCCATCCCCAAGCCTCCTGTCTGGTTCATGCCCTGCCTGCCCAGCACCTGAGCTGCTGCCTCCCCCGCTAGCTCATCTTGCAAACTATGCTGGCTAATTTTCCAAACAAGGCTCTGATCACATTCCTCCTCTATCAGAAACCCTTCTGTGATGCTCTGTTTTCTCCAGCATAAAGCCCTAACTCTTGAGAGTGGTGCTCATTTGTTTATGGAGGCACCATGCTAGTCTCAGGCTAGTACAATGAGAAGGACACTCCTGAGAAACTTAGATTTGGGTGGGGGAGACACTGAACAGACAGAACTACTCTTGGGCACTGATAAGCCAACTGAAAAGCAGCAGGAGAGGTGTGTGTGGTCAAGGAGGGTGTGAAGGTCCTGCCTTTCTGGGTTTACCTGGCCTTCTTGGCATTCCCTGACCATGTCATGTCCACTCATGAGTCTGTGCTTTGCGTGTCTTCTCCTTTGGGTCTGTAGAGGCCTTCCTTGCCTTTTTTTGGTGGAATACACCTGTGTCCTTCCAGACTAACTCATGTCACTGCTGCCTCTTTCAGGATGCCTTTCCAGGCTCACGTCATGCCTTCTTCATGATCGCACACTTATTTGTAAACAACAAATTTCTCTCTCCATGCCGCCTTTGTAGAATGCTAGTAGATTTTTCTTCTGGCAGGGCATCCGATTGTATCATCTGTGGGCTGTTCAAGGCAAGATTTCATTTTGTTTTATGCCCTCAGGCCAATCATGGAGGCTGGCAAAATAACTGTTCTGTAAGTGCTTAATGAATGATCACTTAACAGGTCTGCATTTCAATTTCTTCATTTGAGAAACAGGCCTACTAACACCTTCCCTTTCTCTGTTAGAGGCTGTTGGCAAGATCCGGCCAGTAGTGTTTGTATATGTAAAAGTGTAAACTATGTGTGAAGTCTTAAATTCAGGGCAGGGCTCAGTTGTGACCAGATGCTCTAGCACCCATGCCTTGTGATAGCTGAAGAGTCGAAGACCTGCCTGGCTGTTCCTGCTTTGTGGTCTTGAGGGTGTTTCTCAGCGGGGAGAGCTGTGCCTAGTTCAGCCTGTAGCTTTGCTCACAGGGCTTATAGTGGAGTAGCTACTTGTGACTTGCTGTCTAGCCTGTTCTTTGGGTGTGCCAGACTCTGCAGAGTCTCTGCCATCTTTCTCTTCTCCCCTGGAATCTTGCTTTCTGTTGTTTAAGCGAAGAACACTATCAGAAAGTGGTCTGACCCCATCTTTGCCTTCAACTCACAGAATGACTTGGGCAGGTCCCTTCCCCTCTCCTAGCCTTAGCTTCTCATTTGTAAAATGAGAGGGTTATTATGTGACTGGGCTTTGGGGAACCTTTCCTGTCATAATTCCAACTCTTGGGGATCTTGTTCATTCTTTAAGTACCAGTTCAAATGTAATTTTCTCATGGAAACCCTCCCTATTTTACTTCTTTCCTTTGCTGTTCTTGACTCTTGCTTCTATGTCAGTGTTAAGTACGTGTTTCTTATATATCCCTTAGTGTTGTAGGGTACCCCATGACCCTCTGCTAACTATGAGCTCCTTCAGAGCACTTCTTTAAACCTTTTATAGTAACTGAACCAGAACTTTTCTGGTAGTAATACTCATATAATAACAATATAGCAGTGTTTAGTTACATTTGCTTTGTGCAAGTCACCATTGTAAGATTTGTCTTCCATTAGTGGTCTTCAGCTGCTTTGGAATCATTCCAGAATCTTGCAAGGCAGAGAACCCCACATAGATGGGGCTTGGAGCTCCACCTGGTTTCAGCCAAAGCAACTTTCTTGGAAATACATAGATTTAGGTTTTTGAGACAGGCTCTCACTCCAGGCTGATCTGAAACTTACTATATAGTTTAGGCTAGCCTCAAACTTGTAGTTGATCTTCCTGCCTCTGGGTCCCAAGTGCTGGGATTACAGGTGCAAGCCACCACACCCAGCTGGATTATTATATTTTATTTGTGAAGAAGCAGGCTCAGGGCCTGACTCAGCAGGTCAAAGCGCTTGCCAGATCTGATGACCTGAGTTCAGTCCCTGGAATCCACATGGTGGAAAGAGATGCAACTCCTGCTGAGTCATCCTCTGACCTTTACATGCATGTAGTGCACGCATGTACGTGCACACACACGCGTGCACACAGTCGTACACAAATAAATAAAAAATGTTTAAAAAAGTTATTAAGAAAAGCAACAGGTTCAGAGAGATGGAGCCATGGCCCAGGGTGACAAAATCAGCTGGTGAGAACAGTTTTAAATCAAGGTCTCTTGTGACCTCATTGTCTGGCAGAGTCTTGCTATTAATTATGACAGCTTCTAGGGAGGAAGAACTTCCAAGATGCTGAGTAGAGGAGGTGGCTGAGGCTGCTTCTTGCTCTCTCCTAGAAGCCTCCCTTCCTTAGGCAAGCAGGCCCCTTTAAATGAAGCATGAGTTTAGCCTTAGTCCCCAGGGTGGCTCTCTCAGAAGCTGTTAGGCACGATAAAAGGAGAGAGCCAGGCTTTCAGTGCTAGGCCACTAGGGTTCTTACAGGTTGATGTAGATTCTGGAACATGTATAGACCCCATACCACCCTCTGAGCTGGGCAAGCTACTTTCTGTGCCCTTGAGCTAACTGGTCCACAGCTGTGTTGGACCTGTGCTCTACCAGGTCTATATGGTGATATAAAGTGGAACACTCTTAAGCCTCAGGAGTCCATGGCTAGTGATGGACAGAGGTGGACAAGACAGAGAATGTCCCCATGTGTACTCTAATCTATAATTGCTCTAGCCTTTAAGCCAGGAGACTTAGCTTCTGGGTCTGGCTCTTCTACCCAATTGGTATGTGCCTTCTCTGAACTTGAATTTTCTCCTCTTAGAGGGGAGCTATTATTAATAGTTAAATGAGTATTGAGTGCTTGCTCTGTCTCAGGCTCTGTGTCAGAGGGCTTCATGTGGCTTGTCTCACCTCATTCATATGGCAGCCTGAGGCAGGTGCTATTATTCTGATTTTATAGCAGAAGCTCCTGAGGCTTAGTGAGAGTGAGTCATGAATCTGGTTACTAAGTGGCAGAACATGGACTGAACTGATCTTTGACCATTGTACCATACTGCCTTGGGAATAGGGTTTCCCTCGCCTGCCTCAGAGTCACGAGGAAAGGAAATGTTCGTGAACTGTCAGCTAGTACAGAGTAAGGAAGACGTGCTGTAGATGGATCCATGCTGTGTGGCTGATAAGGGTTGGAGCTGTGTAGCAGAGACTGCATATGTGCTGTGAATTCTGCAGGTAGAGATGGGTGGTACCAAAGGGCGAGCATTTAAAATTCCATTTGATTCATTTTGTTCATTCATATAAAACAAATATTTACTAAGCATCCGTTGTACACTGGAAACTGGGGGCAACCCAAACATAAGCCTAGGCCTTGGTGCAGGAAAGAGCAGTCAGAAAGACACGTTTCCAGCCTGGGCTCTGCAGGTCATTGATGATATGACCTTGGGGAGCTCAATAGCTTCCTAGAAATCTCAAGGCCATCTGAGCAAGGGATCATAAGTCTAACCGTACCTGTAGAATCAGTCAAAAAGGCAGTGTATGTACTTCATAGCTGTAACCTGCCATGCTGGGACTCATTCCATCATCCTGACTGATACCTTGTTCTTCCTGCAGGGTTCCCCAGGAGCTGCAGGACAGGTGTCTGGAGCTCCTCCTGGTGGCTGCTACCCTGGACCTCCTCATGGTGGAGGGCAGAGTGGCAGTGGACTCCCCCCTGGTGGTGGTTACGGGGGTCCTGCCCCTGTGCCCGGAGGGCCCTATGCACCATCAACTGGTGGAGGGCCCTCTGGAACTCCAAGAGGACCATATGGTGGTGTGGCTCCAGGGGCCCCCTATGGTCAGCCACCTCCAAGTTCCTATGGTCCCCAGCCATCTGGGCCTTATGGACAGGGTAAGTAGAATCTTGAGCTCTGGAAATCTAGAGCCTCTGACCTGGGCCGAGCTATCCATGGCTCATCCTTTCCTTCCTGTAGGTGTGCAGGTGCCCTGGTCTCTGGCATCTTGTGACCTTGCTTCCCACCTTGCCTGTACTGGAGAGTGAGAAGCCTACCAGTTAGCTTTTCTGGGCTAGCTTCTCCGGTCTCCTTGGCCTACAATAAGCGTTTATTTCTATTGCCTATTTACACTTATTCTTGTGTATGTGTTGTCAGCAGCTGCAGGTTGGCAGCTGAGTTTCTGCTTCACATGCCTTTATTCTGGGACCCATGCTGAAGGAGTGCCCTATTTGGACCATGTTATCCTTGAGGCAGAGACAGCGAATAGGAAGCTAGCACGGATGGTGGTGCCTCTTAAAGTTTCTTTTGTGGACTACTAAGACATTAAGTGCCATGCATGGCATTTTTTTTTAAGTATTTATTGCAAAGAATGCTGGACACAGTTCAGTGTATGGCTGAAATCCAATATCATCCATTCTATCGAAGTAGGGCAATGTCCAAAACTCAGATACATGAACCAGACCAGCTAAAACTTGGTGGCCAGCCAGGCATGTGGTTGCCTTGCAAAGCCATATCAGGGTGGTTGAGGGAGGGACTGTTTCTGTACATGACCCACCCTGTTGACATCCTACCCCAACCTTAATCCTTATCCAACAGCTCCTGCCTTCCCTCAGTACAGAGGAAAAAGGGCCTCAGTGGTCTCACGACCTCGGGTGGTGTCCAGTCATTTGGCCAAAGCACATCTCCTTGTCAAGCCTGATCCCAGTGGGGAACGGGGCTCCTCTCATGGGGAACTGCTTAAGCTACCAGGCAGTGGGAGTGGTACAGTGCTTGTATTGGGAAGGGAGAGCAACAGATAATTGGAGACAACACTGTAGCCCACTGGGGGAGAAACTCCATTCCTATAGGAGGGCAAGATGGTGGAGGTAGTGAAAGCTTGAGATCAGACTACTTACTTACCTGAACAAACTACCTCTTTAAGCTCAGCATCCACCTCAATAAAATGGGGACAATGCCAGTACCTCACGTGCTTGTTAGGACTAAATGAGAAGCTACAGGTTAATACTTGGTACCGCATCTAGATTTACTGGACAGTATTCTGTGACAGGACTTGTTCTAGGGCAGAGAGTATTGGTATTTAATGTAATAGCAGATGTGACATGGACCTTACCCTTAAGAAATGCTGAGGCAAGCAAGAAAATGAAGGGAAAGAAAAGCACAGACCAAGGGAAGGTACTGGACAAGACCAGGAGGGGCCGGGACCTGGAGAGTCAGTGAAGGTAGACAGCCTTAGCTAGGGGCTCCAGCCACAGTGAAGATTTCTGAGCCGTCTCAGAGAGTTCAAGAAAGTGGGTGCTGGTCCCCGCTTGTCCCATACCCATTTCAGTCAGCTCCTTCACAGACTGTTCTCAGGAGCCCGAGCACCAGCAAGGCAGACTGGAACCACTTTGGTGCATGGGAAGGGTCTCCCGGGAGTGTTTTGCTTAGGAAGCAAGGATGTATACAGGCAGGTGGCCCTTGGGGAGACTCAAACCTTTGGGGTTCTGAGCACTGCAGCCAGTGGCATTCATCTTAGAGCCCAAGCATCTGGCCATTTGCTAGCAGCCCAGCAGCTCCGCGGTGGATTTCCACGTCCTTTAAAACCTTGCTTCTGAGCTTACAAGTGGTCTCAGCAGGGAAGGGAACCCAAGGCTATCGGTAATCTCTAGGGCTGGAGAGGAAAGGAGGGATGTGCCTCACATGCTCAACTGCTCTCCCTCTGCTCTCCTCTTACTTGGCTGCCGTTGCTCCTCTCCAGGGTGGCTAGCAACACCCAGAGCAGTAAAGCATGATCCATGCATCACCTTAGAGTCCTTGGGAGACTCCGCATCCAGGGTTTGAATACCACTGCTATAGAAGACAGATCTGACTTAGCAGTGCCCCTTTGCCTGCAGGAAGAATGCCAGTGGCCTTCCCCACTTGTCATCACTCCTTCCCTCCCATCCAGCTGAGACCCCAGGGTGCTGTGAATGCCCCTGTACCTTTGCTACCTGCTCCGCCTTCTCCCCAGCACCTCATCGTCCCTTCAAAACCAGTTTAAATGCCTTCTTCTCTGAAAATGTCTCTTGCCACCCCTGTTCTTTATTTTACTGATATCTCAATAATCATTCCAACTATCCTGGGAAGTGGGTTCATTTTAGAAATAGGGAAATCAGCCTTCAAAAAGGTTACCTATTTTACCTGAAGATACCCAGTTAGCAAGGACCAGAGTCAGGATTTGAATCCAGGTCTGCTTTGAATCTAAAGTCAGAGTTCTACATGAAACACATAGCCCATACTTGTTACAGAAACTTCTACCAGAGGATGTGTTTCTCCCTTCCCCCTGACACCACTGTTTTCAAAAGGTGGATGAACCTGCTGAGGTTCCTTATACTAGACCCTCAGTCAGGCGAACCTTTTTCCCTCCAGCCCCATCTTCAGGCCTGTCATCGCACTGCCCATCTCTGTCTCTGGTCCTTCCTTGTGTAAAGGAGCCCCTCTTGTGGGCAGTTAACTCTGCTTCACTAAGGGAGACTGACTTCTTCATTTGCCACTCCTTCAGGTCACCTTTTCTAGATAATTCTTGATGTTCTGGAGGGGGACAGGAAATGTAAAATCAAATAGAGGGTTTTGGGACTATGAGGCCTCATGGAGTAGAAATCAACTGCAAGTACTCGTGAGTCTACATGAAAGGCCTCCATCACCATAAGGATATGGACTTGCTTGGAAAACAGGATAGACAGATTTGTGAGGCTTTGTGGGTAGGTATTCTAGTCTGCTTTTCTGTTGCTGTGATAAAGCACTCTCACCAAAAGGAATTTAGGGGCAGAAAGGATTTATTTCAGCTTACACAGGTTATAGCCCATCATTGAGGGAAGTCAGGGCAAGAACTCAAACAGGAACTTAAAGGCAGGAGCCATAGAGGAATACTGCTTGCTGGCTCCCTAGGCTCATGCTCAGCTAGCTAGCTTTTTTGTTTTGTTTTTTGGTCTTTTTGAGACAGGGTCTCCTTGTAGCCCCCAGCTGTCCTGGAACTCACTATGTAGACCAGGCTGGCCTTGAACTCACAGAGATCCGCCTGCCTCTGCCTCCCAAGTGCTGGGATTAAAAGCATGCACCACCACGCCCAGCATCTTTTTTTAAAAAAAAATTTATTATTATTTATGTGTATGAGTGTATTGCCTGGATATATGTAAGTATATCCATGCAGTACCTGAGATCAGAAGAGAGCCTCTAATTCCCCTAGAACTGGAGTTACGGATGGTTGTTATGGGACTCAAACCTGAGTCTTTTACAAGAGCAGCCAGTGCTCTTAACTGCTGAGCCATCTCTCTGGCCCCAGCTAACTTTCTTATACAGGCTAGGACTACTTGCCCAGGGAATGGACTGCCCATAGTGGGCTGGGCCCTCCCACATCAATTAAGACAGTTCCCAACAGGCATGCCCACACGTCACCAGTCCCTCAATTAAAACTCCTTTCTCAAGTGACTCTAGGCTGTGTCAAGTTGACAGTTGGGCTAATTAGGACCGTAGAGAAAACCTATGGCCAGAGAGGTTCTGATGCTGGCTCCCTGACGTTTCTTTGATCTGGGTCTTACTACCCTAATTCATACTTCACCCCCAGGTGGTGTCCCTCCCAATGTGGATCCTGAGGCCTACTCCTGGTTCCAGTCAGTGGACACTGATCACAGTGGCTACATTTCCATCAAGGAGCTGAAGCAGGCCCTAGTCAACTCTAACTGGTCCTCGTTCAATGATGAAACATGCTTCATGATGATAAGTGAGTTCTACCTTTCCTTCCAAGAGCATGCAGACTTAAGCTGGGGCAGAGCCACCGACAGTTGACAGAAGGGGGCAGGTAGCCACTCTGAGGAGAACTATGGCCAGAAAGGATTTCTGGGAGGAAGTAGGGTTCAAGGTGAGATTTCCTTTATTTTGGATCATTATCAAATTCTAGATTGCTGGGTTACAGACTGGTCCAATTTCCCATTTTGCAGCCAGGGATTCCCTCCCCTGGTAAGAAACAATAGGAAGTGGGGCAGCATGGATCCAAGTCTTGGAACTGACCTGGCAGGCCTGTAGGGAAAATCCATATCCAGATGGGACAGGGCTGAGTGGCCAGTGGAGGGCCAGGTGCTGCATTTGGTACCATATCTCAGGCATGGGTGTTTGATCGTCAAGCCTGGATTCTCCAGCCTGGGGAGAAGGGCTGCCTCAGTGGTGCCCTTGGGCCTCAGTCTTAAAGCTTTCTTCCTTTTCTCTATCTCCTCCCATCCTAGATATGTTTGACAAGACCAAGTCTGGCCGTATTGATGTCTATGGTTTCTCAGGCCTGTGGAAATTCATCCAGCAGTGGAGGAACCTTTTCCAGCAGTATGACCGGGACCACTCTGGCACTATTAGCCAAATGGAACTGCAGCAAGGTGGGGGCCATGGTGGGCACGGTGGGCACAGTGGAGCTAGATTTTCCTCTTTATGCTTCCAGACAGAACAAAGGGTTTTCCTTCACTGCCCAGTGCCTGCCTATAGCACAATATGCTGGTCTCCAGGCAGTCCCTCTCATCTCACCATCTGTGATCTATGAACCAAGATCCAGGGCCAGGCTGGGCTCTCTGGTGACAGAACTCTAGGCATTGCTGGGTGGGACAGCCCCATATGGCAGGGAGCCAGAGAGATGGGAACTTGTACCCCAACACACTTGGAGAACAGAGCGAGTGGTTCTTTCTTATGGGTCCAGCATGTAGCATGGAAAAGAGCTCAGATAGGATCTATTGTCACTTCTGCCAAAAAAAAGTTACTTTCCAATGCTGAGACCCAGAGCCTTCTAAAAGTTACAGTTGGGTAAGATGACCTGAGACTACAGCTCCACTTCTAGTTTTAATCTGACTCTGTAAGTTAGAGCCTGTGGCCTGAACTCAGGCCACTGGGTTAAGCGGATAGGTAGTTAATGTAGTTGTGAGACCCCCAAAGGGGAGCTTCTTCACCTGCCCATAGAATCCTTTGTCCTGACCATGCATTTCAGTCAGACTTAGGTCTTCAGGGTAAGCACACCATATCTGCCTCTGGTAGAAGGGAAGGGGTGATCAGTACTCATCACTACCTTGCCAGCTTGCCATGGATGTTGGTGAAGTTAAATAGCATCGACACAACCAGCATTTGCTGAATGCTTGCTATGCCCCAGGCAGTGTAGTAAGCTTTGTAATGGGTTCAGGTAATATATGCTTCCCATGTGCTAGGTCTTGTTTGCTACTGCACACCATTTGCTAAAGGATCCCTCCCAGTCTCCCTTTTATAAATGACAAGACTGAGGCTTAGTTACTTGCCCAAGGGCCCTCAGAGCAGATAGCTCAGATTGTACCTGGGCTGGTAAGTGATGCAAAAAAGGAAGGAACATCACAGTGGGAGATGGGAAGTGGAATGTGGGCTGTGACCTCATGTGGGGACACGATGCTTTTATTGAAAAAACAACACTGTGTGCCAGGCACTGAGCTAAGTGCTTCTGTGATTGCCTTTCATCTTTACTAGATCCACAAGTTAAGTATTATCCCCATTTTAGTGGTAATAAGAGGGATAGTGAAGCTGAGCAACTAGGCCAAGGACTGTCTGCCTCCAGAACAGCTTGTAACCCTTGTGTTATGCTGCTGCCTCTAATGTCTGCCCTAGCTGGGGTGGTTGGTGGCCCCCACTTCCCTCTGTGATGCAGATGAGTCAGAGGTAATCAGAGATGGACCACCATCCTCTCTGGGATCCTATGAACCCTGATGGTGGAGAACTGGACAAAGAGGGGAAGGGCCTTCCAGCAAGGGCCCGACTGGACAGAGATGCTGTTGTGCTCCTCATGCCTCGAACAGGTCCGGGACCTCTCTGTCCTCCTCATGATGCCCCCGAAGTCCCCTGATGTGCTGTGCTCCAGTGTTGATGAGTGGTGGAGGTGTTCACCACGGGTTTCTCTGTCTGCTCTGTGTCCTGTCCAGCTCTGGCCCAGATGGGCTACAACCTGAGTCCTCAGTTCACCCAGCTCCTGGTTTCCCGCTACTGCCAGCGCTCTGCCACTCCTGCCATGCAGCTTGACCGCTTCATCCAGGTGTGTGTCCAGCTTCAGGTGCTGACTGAGGCCTTCCGGGAGAAGGACCATGCTGTACAGGGCAACATTCGGCTCAGCTTTGAGGACTTCGTCACCATGACAGCTTCTAGGATGCTATGACCTAGCCTGCCTATATTAAGTGGAACACGCCAAGGACCTTTCCTTGCTTCTTAGGGAAGAAGACGTGGGCCTCTCTTCTTCTCCCCCTCCTAGCAAAAGATTCTTTTGCCTGATACAAAACTGTTCCCAAAGATGATTGGGAGGCCTGTGTCAGAGCCACCAAAAAGTCCCTGTAGGCAGCCACACAGGAGGCTGCTCAGGAGAGGATTAGAAGTTGAGTATCCTGAGCTGTGGGATGCCACAGACTTGGAGCAGGAGTCTAGTCAGGAGTGGAGTTAGTATCTGGTTAGCCCTGCCCTGGCCTCTGGCTCTGCTCTGATGCCAGTGCTATGTGTTCTGCTGGCCTCACAGTACCACCTTTTCTTCCCAATCCCAGACCGTCATGTCAGATGAGCCCAGTTTCTACAAAGTGGAATGTGACAGCATGGGGGAGATTTGCCTGGGGGACCAGTGACTTGGATTCCCTGATACCCACAATCTTTGTGTGTCAACTTGCAGCTTACCTGAGGCTTTTCCTGCTCAGGAAGCTTGGATAGTTGCCATCTGGGCATTTTTGACCAGGCTATTGCCCTCTAAAACTTGGACCCCCTCACTGGCCTACCATGTTCTACTCAGCTTCAGTCCCCAGGGGACAGTTGTCACATCCTACTGCCAATGTTGTTTTTAGTTTCCTTTTTGTCTTTTTGTTTGGGGCCAAAAGTCCAGTGAAATTATAAGCTTCAATAAAATGCTGAAACCCTAAAGTCCCACATTTCCCACCATGACCTCACAGCTATATGTCCACACTCATCCTCTATCATTTGCCACCCCATGTAAGGGACCAGTGCTCACTAAACCATGCCAAAGCAGCAGCCTTGGGAGCAGAGGTGAATGGGGTGAACCTGTTGTTCGCCAGGGTGAAGTTGGGGCTCTGCTGGGTTCACTTCTCTGTGTTCAATCAGCACAAAAGGCTGACTGTGCTTCTTGGAAGTTTTAGGGATGCATTCTGGGCTGGAAGCAGCCACCCCCAATTTCTCACAGCATGGCCCTTTTATTATCTTAGGCCTGAGTTTTATCTCCCAGACAAACTCCATTTATGAAGTCATAACTTTTTTCCCACTTTTATTAAGCAGAGACATCAGTACCTGCCAGTTGCATTTAGATCTGCATGATACCCAGTCCACACCACATGGCTATAACAAGCTGACAGAATTTCAATCAAAAGCTGAAGACACCAGACATTCTAGTTTGCTAGGGGGACCTTATCATGGATAATGGTGTGATTATCCTCTGGCTTTGGGAGATGAAGATAAGAGCTCTGAGGCTCAAGAGGCCTTCAGCAGGGCTCTCCTCCTGCAGGGTGGTGGGTGGAAAGTGGCTGTGACTGTTCTGCAGGGCACTGAGGCCAGCAGGCTTTTTGGGCTCAGCCCATTCAGCTCCTCTGGGCTACTGAAACTCTGGAATCCTAGAGTTAGATGGAGTCTAGTTCCCAGGGGGCAGCCGCAGCCAGAGCTGGAGTCCTCTCCAGGGAGTCCAGCTTCTGTTTGCCAACCTCTAGAGACAAAGGAATACAGGCTCTTCCAAGTTGCCCATTTCCTCTGACTGGTAGAAATATCTTCCCAATTCGAAATTCTGGCACCTTGGAAACACCATCCATTGGCCCTAGTTTTCTCGATTGGGCTAGCCAGGGCACAGTTTTCCTCTGGAAAGTGGAGCCTGCTACCACATCCTCCCTCCCCACAGCCCAGGTTCTCTCCTGGGCAAGGTAGTCCTGGACTTCCGAGCTGCCCCTTACTCAGCATGACTCCCCTTGGCACCCTGGCTTACCTCTCAATGTACTCAATGCATCACTAGCTCCATGAGCAGATGCCTAAGTCCCACCATGGGGCTGGCTCCAACCTGCAGGATAGGGTAGAGCTGTGTCCCCCTGTTCTCTCTTTGTTCCTCCTGAGCCATGTCCAATGAAAGTCATCTCTATTTTTTTATGTGGTACTAGGGTTGGAACCCAGGGTCTTACACACTAGGCAAGCTTACACATTACTACCTAGCTATGGCTCTACCCCTCAAACCCATCTTTAGAATGGTGCCAATCACAATCTACCTTTGTTCTGGGAGGAGGGTGCTGAGGGCCCAAGAGCTGCATACATCCTTATAAAAACATGGATGATCTGAGCTTGGGGCCTAGTCCTCTTGCCTCATCATAAACACACTGCACCTCCACACCTACTGACTATGGTTTGGATTCTGAGGCCAGCGGGAGTATGAAGTGGACAGGACTGCCTACCCCTCCTAGCCAACTGTAGTGCTGGCCAGGTAAGTCTGGACAGCAGAAGACATTCTTAACCCACATGGTCCACTTGTTCTGAATGAAGCGAGGTGCCCACAAGAAGCTATATCTAGGCACTCCTGGGCTGGGCCCCCAGTCTCTGCCCCACTTCCTGACAGATGAGGTCAAGGAAGCCTGCAGTTCCATTAATCAAGTTAAGCACACCTGCTGGTGTGCCCGCTCACACTGGCCTCAGCCAGATGTCTCCTGTTCTCTCAGCAGAGCGGGACTCCAGAATGTGCTCTCCTGCTCTGGCAACGAGGATCAGGGCCTTTGGCAGCCCTGTAATCAGCCTGGTGGCAGCCGGAGCACGTCTGGCCAAGTCTGTGGCTTTCTCTTTTTATCCTGTTGAGTTCATAGAAAATAAATGAAGCTTTGATTTCCAAGAAGGTTAGGGAACTAAATCTGTCAACACACTGTCTGCCCACCTGCCTCCTTACCTTCTGGTCCAGAGGTCACCGGGGGAGGAGCAGACAGTGTGTCAAGGACTGGGCCCCTGGACACCAGAGGCTTGGCACTGCCAGGGAGGCAGCACCATTTGCAGTCTGAGTCCATCTAAGGTGAGGGTGAGGGTTCTCAGATAATAGCATTCCAGAGCCTTCTTGTCTCGCCGTCCCCCAGCTGCCCCACCTTCCTCTACTAACCTGAGCAGCACAGATTTTGTGTAATGACAAGGAAAGGGAACATTCAGTGCCAGGCTTTTAATTACAATTGCTTTGGGCTGCTGGCCTCCATGCTGAACGGCCACATGGAGAGTGTTTTAGCACTCCGAAAAGCCAACGAAGTCTATCCTATGGTGCGTGCAGTTCACACCTGGAAAGGGTGGGGTGTGCTCAGAGCCCACTGTGAAGGGCTAAGCCTGGGTTAGTTCACAGGAGCATCAGAGTATCTGGTCATGAGCAACCTGGACTTTAGGGGACCCCCAGGCTTGGTGGATATGCCTGCAGGGACCTTTGGAGCAGACACCAGGGAAGGCCTGTGATTGAGTAAGAGACAAGTCTTTGGGAGGAAGGCCAAGCTCTTAAAGGTTGGTAGAGGTGGATGACGCTGTAGGGTGTGGCCACATGAGAGAGGTACAACGGTAACTATGTCCATGGCACTAGACAGTTCACAAAGCTCTCTGCTTGCTTGAGCATGCTTAAGTCTTGTAGCAACCCTGCTTAGGGGACACAAGCACAGAGAGGGGATGACTCGCCCAGAGTCACCCAGAGAGAAAGCCAGGACTGGAGTCGCAGCCTCTCACTGTATGCAATGGAGAGGCCCATCACAGACAAGGACCAGGCTATGTCTCCCAGAGCCTCAGGCTGCCCCACTCGGGGAAGCCCCCCCCCCTCAGGGCAGCACTGTGGTGACGCTGGTAAGCACTACATGCTCGGAGACTTTGGAGACGGAACACCGACTCTGCAAGGACAAGGACTTGTGGCTGGCAGAGGAGCGGGGACTGGGAGCCTTCAGAGAGCTGCAGGGACCCAGGCCAGGCAGGCAGCAGGAGAAGGCGGCCTTAAACTGCTCCCGGAATTTGCCTTGGTTGAGAGACAAAAGACACAGTCATAAGGAGACAAACACAGTAGGAAAGGGCTTGAGCTCAAGGGACACCCACACAGCTCTGGCCAAGCTGTCTGGGTGAGGGCAGAGAGGGTGGGGGTAGAGCTAGGATGGAGAGTCCAAGGCCACTCAGCACTGCCAGCCAGAGGACAGAGGCCCCCAGCGGGTTCCTGAAGCAAAATGCAATTGTCTTGATTCCTTGACTGCATTCTGGCTTGGAGCCTGGTTCAAGACGTGGTGTCTGGCTCAGGGGCCTCAGGTCACTTCTACCCTCCCTGGCATGTGTATGGAGGGGGTTCAGAGTTCACTTTGTTGCTAGCCTACCCCAGCTCTGCCCTGATGAAATGACAGCAGTAGCCCTTGCAGGTAGCAGTCACATTGTACCAGGGGCCATGTGAGTACCTCAGATGCCATCTCCCAGAGTGTCCCTGTACCCTGAGAGACTGTGTAGGCTGCAGAGCCTCATCTCACAGATGAGATGCATGGAGCTTGCCCAAGGCCACCCAGCCAGAAGCTGAGCCTGGGGATCTAACTACGTAGCCCATCTCTTAAGGGGGAGAGTAGATTGGGAGAAGAGGGACTACATGGCACTATGTTCAGCCCATGTATACTAGGGGGACAGAGGTTTTCTTGGAACCAAACCCTCCCTGATCATGTATCACCAGCCTCTCGTTCTCTGGAACCCAGCTCAGGGCAGAGCACACAGTAGGTACTCAGTAAGCGCAGGCCACACAAGGCATGTGCGTCAGGGCTTCTCCCTGCCCTTTCCCCCGCTGCAGTGCCCCATTCTTCTGTTCTCTGCACTGGGGAGCCTTTGTTGAGCAATTCTTGAGTTGTAGGGAGAGCTACACTAGTGACCTCTGATCCCTTCTCAAGCATCTTAACCTTATTTCTGAAAGATTGTGTCCAACTCCTCAGAAGCCTAGTCCCCAGTCTGAGGTCTGATGGGTCACTTCTCCTGAGCCAAAAGTAGGGAACCCACTGAGACTGGGAGTTACAGGGCAGAGGCAGGACATATAGGATGACAGGAGGGCCATAGTGGGAATAGGGGTCTGGGCTCCAGGAAGAGAGAAAGGGTTGTTTTTGAAGCCTATGGATTCCCTGGTCCCTCAGCTGAGTTATACAATCTCCCTCTCAAGCAAGGTCCCCTGGGTCCTCTTCTCACAAGCCTGGCTCCCACTAGGAACATGGACTGCTCTCTGCCTGCTCAAAGAGAGCCAGTTCTGTACATATCCCTTGGGGTGGGGGGTAGAGGCCCAGGCCCCATCCTTCTTCCTAGGCACTGGTCTACAGATCTGTCAGAATCAATCCTGGATGCTAGTCACTGGCTGGAGCTCAGATCATGGCTCCTGGGAAGGGAGTACGTGCAAGTCTCCCTGTGAGCAGGGGTTCTCAGAGACAGAGCGGGTACATCCTGAGGGCCTCCTGGGGACCATGGCCACCCTCAGTCACTCACCACTGAGGAAGTTGTAGATGATGGGGTTGGCAGCGCTGTTGGCATATACCAGCCAGTGAGAGAAGGTGAAGCAGGCGTAGACAGCTTCCCGGTCGCTGGCTTGGCGGAACATCCCGAAAACTCTAGCACCAGTGGGGAGGATGGTTGGAAGTGAGAGAGGTGGGCAGAGGGAGGGTGGGCACTCTAGAACTCTAGCTAGAAAATGCAAGGATCCCCACTGCTGCCCATTTAGGGCTCTGAAGCTGACTTCTTGACCACAATTTTGGGTTCCTGTGCATCAGTTATGACCAGAGTGAGCCTTTGGGGCAGGGACCACTCTATATCTGCTCAGTCATCACCCATCTGATCCCAAGTACCAACCCAGCCACCTCCCCATTCACCTACAGCAACATAAGAACATGGACAGCATCCATTTCTCAGAGAAACTGAGGCTCAGAGAAGAACACACCCAAGATCACACAGTCAGGATGTGGCTCCTCTCTAGTATCCTATGATCCTCCATTCGCACCCCTTCTCCCCTCATCTGCTGTGTCTGTGTCCCTGTGTCCCTTTAACCCAGACTGTTGTCTTCTGTATCCCCTAAAGCTTGCTCAAGCATCACAGTCTCCGAGGCTTTTTTTTTTTTTTGGACACAAGGTCTTACTATGTAACATAATCTGGCCTTGAACTCATAATCCTCCTGCCTTGACCTGCTGAGTGCCAGGATTGCAGACATGCAGCTTCACACCCAGCCTCTCAGAGAATCCTTTAAAAATACTGTATCTGGGGCTGGAGAGATGGTTCAGCAGTTAAGAGCACTGGCTACTTTTATAGAGGGCCTGGGTTCAATTTCCAGGACCCACATGGTGGCTAACAACCATCCTTAACTCCAGTTCCAGGGGGTCCAACACCCTCTTCTGATCTCTATAGACATTACACGACATGAGTGTGTTTACATACATGCAGGCAAAACACACATAAAAATAAAAATAACAAATAATTAAAAATATATTATCTAAACCAAAACCACCAGCCCCTGCCATTGTGATTCTCTGTCCTCTTTCTGTATTTTGTTTCTTTCACGGTTCTCACTGTCTGGTACCATATACTGGCTTATCTTTTGCTTGTCCTTCTCTCACTGAAGTGCAGCCTCTGTGAAGGCAGGAGCTTTAGCACTTGTACCCAGTCACCCTAGAACTTGATGGCTGAGTGCATGGAGGAATGGGTTTTCCTAATCACCCTAGGAGCCAGGCCTGTGATCCCCATGCCATGCCTGAGATGGAGATGCAGGGCAGAGGGTGACCTGCCCAGGGTGGAGAGTGGTGGAATGAAGGGTGGTCTTCTTCAGGTCCTCCCCAACCACATGCTCCTGTGTTCTCACCTCTTGAGGACATTGAGGACACTGATGGGCAGGTAACAGAGGGCAAAGACCAGCAGCACCACCATCAGCATCTTAGCTGTCTTCCTCCGAGCTCGCATCTGCTTTACCTCAGCCAGGAAGGCCCGAGCCCGGGGCTGGGGCTCCATACTCAGGCCCTGGGTCTGCACTTCCAGTTGCTCTGAGGGCCGCTTCCAGTTCCGCACCAGGGCAGATGTGGTGCCTGGGATCTACCCAAACGGGGGGGGGGGGGGACAGAGAGAGAGAGAGAGACAGAGAGACAGAGAGACAGAGAGAGAAACACAGCAGTGAGTATCATTTTTGGAGAGAGTTATTCTCTGGCTGGGCCCATTCTGGGCCTGGTGGGCAAGGAGAGGGTAAGGAAACAAATTCTGCAATAGAAGGGAACCTGATATTCATAGTAAAGACGAAAGATCTGGGCTAGGTGAATGTAGATGAGGTGACAGAGATTCAGTGACCCCTGGACAAGGCCCCAGGCCCCGGCCTGGGATCTTTCCAGCTGTTTTTCCATCCTCCATAGGAGCTCTAGTTCCAGCTTTGGGAATGGGGTAAAATGGTAAGTTGTGTTGACCCTGGCCATGTCAGACTGTGGAGAGTGGAAGGGTAGCAGGGAAAGCCTTGGTGATTAAAGCTGGGCCTGTAATCCTGGCTACACAGGGCCTCAGGGCATGGCTCACCATCTGGGTCAATGTCTAGAAGCCTGAATGGGTCTGGGCTCCTGGAGCAAGGGCAAACTGGAAGCCTGTCCTACCACTGGACATCAGACTAACCCCAAAAGTGTGGGAGAAATGGAGTTAGAATACAGAAAACTTGAGTCTAGAGATAGCTCACACATTCATAAGCTGTATGGCTTCTCTAAACCTTGGTTTCCTTAAGGCAGACCAGTCAAGAAAGGCTCTGTTCAGCTGGGTGTTCCCGCAAGGCAGGATCTGGGTTTAATCCATTCATCTCCCAACCTATTGCCCTGCATGCCCTGTGTGAGGGTCGGCACTGTGTAGAATGTAGTGACATCCCAGAACTTGGGTGTCACTATCTGAGACCAGTCACACTTGTGGCCCACATCTTCTCACTGCTGCTGACCCAGGACTTACTGCCACTAGTGCTAATGACTCTAAGCACCCCTTTCTCCATGAACCCCATCCCCAGGAAACCCACTGTGAGTCTATCTGTAATAGAGGAAAAAAAATCAGGCCTGGAACTGCAAGGCCCTTACTAGCCTTGGGGTGGGATAAAGTCAGACAACAGGAGTTTTTCCTTAGGCAGCCTGTGGGAGGCTTTCCTGAGACCAGGCAAGTGTGCAGAGAAGTAGGACTGGGCACCAACAAAGCACAGGCAGACAACCTCAGGCATATGATGTTTCAACATTAATTTCACATTTTAAAAATCACAGTGGTCACTGGGGGAAGAATCAGAATACTGTCAGACAATCTGCTTCCCTGGTGGTTTGGTACTGCTTGTATTTTGCTTATATTTGGGGGGCTGTTAGAGCTCTAAATTGTGAAATACTAACCAATATTAGTAAATAGTAATCATAGTAAATGTGCACTGGTGTGGTTGTTTTGACACAGGAACACACAGGGGAAGCCAAGAAAAGGCTTTCCTGGTATGGGGGTGTGTGGGAGGGCAGAATAGGTGAGGAGGTGCAGAACAGATAGGGGGCAGGCAGGGTGGGAGGGGTTGTCTAACCCTGACCTGAGTCAGCAGATAGTTGAGAAAAATCTTGAACAGGAGGAGAGGCCAATATAAAGGGAAAAACATTCCCGAAGCAACTTGGGCTGGGTCCTGAGGGATGAATAGGTATTTGCAGGTGGATTTGAGTGCAATGTGGTAGGCAGGAATGGGAAAGGAGAGGTAGTTCAGCCATCAGGGACAGCCTGAGCAGAGGTGGGAAGCAGGCCTGCTGCAAAGCCTGTTGTCAAGCTAGAGTTTAGTTTGACCCCAGGGTGCTCCCAAGGGGAGCAGTGAGAAACAGAAGAAGGTGGCAGTAAGTGGTGGTGCACACCTTTAATCCCAGAACCAAGGAGGCAGAGACAGGAAGATCTCTGTGAGTTTGAGCTCGGCCTGGTCTACATAGAGAGTTCTAGGCTAGCTAAGAGCTACAGAGAGAGACCTTCTCAGAAGGGAGGGAGGGGAGGAGGGGGAGCTGTGAGACACTGGATGCGAGGCCTAACTTGGCAAGCAATTCGGAACTGTGATTATTAATCTGGTATGAATGAGCATCAGAGCTTCACAGATCCAGGTTTTAATCCCTGACTTTCTACTCACTAGCTGAGTACTCCGGGGAACATTACATTTCTTCTCTGGGTCTCTCTTCTCACATATTAAGGTGTGGGGGGATAAGATGTGGTGGTTAAAGCTGGGCTTATAATCCTAGCTCTCAGAAGGCTGAGACAGAAGAATTGCCAAATTCAGGCCAGCCTGGGCAACTTAGCAAGACCCTGCCTCAAAACTTAAAAAGGAGTAAGGAGAGAGGGAGGGAGGGAGGGAGGGAGGGAGG